TATATCAGGTTGGCTTGGGTTGGGTTGGGTTTTAAATCATAACCCGAAACCCAACCCAACCCAACCCAACCTCAAATATATTTTTTCACCAATTGAACTTAAAAAACCAATCCAAACCGATCGGGTTGGTTCGGGTTGATCAGGTTGAGCGGGTTGGGTTGGGTTTTGCCCAACCCTAATAGTAGTCATGTATTACTTCTGGTGAAAACATAATCAATTTACCCCGAACCTATGTTTGATGCAGATGATCTGATCCAGACGTGTCTATTTCTGTATTGAAGTGGGCATAGAACTCTTTCACCAGATTTTCATTTACTGGGTGCGGTCTTTCAATCACTTTCTCCTAATCACAGTTGTGGATTAAATAAATCAATTCAAAACTGGGGAAATCTTCTAACTTAACTGGCCTTTCGAGGATGAGTGTCCACTCACAGACAACATTGACATAACGGGCTATTTTGTCTGAAGATAGAAATCGCCTGACACCCCCTTCTGGCTCCCTAGTCCGAGCTGTGTCAGATGTGGAACCAACCTTCTCTTTTTCTTTTGATGTTCTTTTTGGAGGCATCCTGCAAAGGTGTAAACATAACATTCATTAAACTTCGTGTTGAAAAACGAGAGAGAAAATGAGATTAGCAAGAGATGTATTTTACAAATCCCCCAAACTTGCTTCAACATGTATATATAACTCCTTGGTGTACATTCTTCAAAACATGATATTCAAGATAGTGTAAATAGTGTGCCAATATGAAAAAAAAAAACTAAGAAAATTAGGCCTAAACATGCACATTTGAAAAATTGGACCCATGACCAAGTGTGCATGTTCGGCCCCGGACATCATTGAAAAATATCAAAATTTTCCCAAGCAATCTTCGGGCATAGGAAAGTATTGAATGAGGTCTACCATATACGCAAGTTTCAAATCAATTGAACTCCATTTGGTGTGTCAAATAATGGTGTAAAGTAGGGGACGTAGGGTGCCGTGACCTAGCCATGTGCCTATGTATTGCAAAATGGATGTGATGTTTTACATGGTCTTTCATGTGTTTGTGCATGTGATAATATGCAAACTTCAAGAAAACATACTCAAGAACGTATGAAGAATGCAAAATAACAACACACACACACAAGTTGAGTGCAAAACATCCAAATTGTGTCAAGTGACTCATGATCAAGTGTGCACTTTCACCCCCGGACATCATCGAGAAAAATCGATTTTTTCCCGAGCAACCTCCGGGCATATGAAAGTACGTAGTGTGGAGTGGTACATATTCAAATTTCATGCCCGTTGGATGTCGTACTGGTACTTAATTGAAGGGACGAAGTGGGTGTTGTGAAGTGATGTGAACCTAACATGGGTGCCTACATGTGCGTGGTTGGTGGGTGATTGCTTCCAGCTCAATTTCTAAGGCTTTTGATCACGTGTATGTGAATGTATATATTCAGATTGTCAAATGCGGGATTGCACAAAATGCACCACAACCTTCACTTAGGCAATTATCAAACATGTTGTATGCATTCTTTGTAAACCCTATAAAATACCAAAAAGATAATGTGCTTCCAATCCACAACATAACCCAAGCTCAAAATACACAATCCATCGACTACCTATTGCCCATTCTCCGCAGTCAAACTCAAAAATTCTTGGTTCATCACGAACCAAACTAAAAAAAAAATCATAGAAGAAAAGGGATGAGAGAAGGTACCTTGAATTCACAATGAATGTGTGGATGAAGAATGGGATGAAGGATGCTATGTAATAGGAGTGGGAGTCGTGTGTGAATGTGTCTTACCATTTGTTGGTGTGAGGGTGTGAGAGGTATGTGAAGAGGGGGAAATGAGTGAGAGTGGCTCGGTCATGGCTTAAATCCATGACCGAGTCACTACTATGCGGCCACATAGTAGTAATCTATGTGGTCGCATAATGATGGAAACACCCCAAATTTTTGTCTCGGTTGAAGTCTATGCGACCGCATAGATATTATGTCCATGCGATCGCATAGACAATTTTTTTTATTAATAAAACAAAACATAATGGAATACAAAAATTGATGTTCCCTCTTTCAATTCTCTAGTACACATTTCCCCTTTAAATTTTTAAAAACGTCATTCTGTCTTGAAATGCGTGAATTTTACTCCCAATCACCCAAAATCATTTCAAACTTACCGAATATGTGTGTAATGCCTAGAAAATTATGTGGACGATAATTTGATCCTATTGATATGCATGGATGAACAATGACCTAAAAAAATGCAAATGCGAAAATTAAATAACTCCTAAAATAATGTGAAAAGTAAGATAAATCGAATGATACAGTGGGTTGCCTCCCACCCAGCGCTAAGTTATAGTAGATAGCTCGACTTTATTGTATTGCTTCATTCTGGTGGTCTGAGATGAATGGTAGACTTGTCCTTTGAGAAATCGCCGCCCCAATAGTGCTTCAAACGCTGTCCATTGACCTTGAATGTCTCCTTACTGTCATGAGTGATTTCAACTGCCCCATGTGAAAATACCTGTATAATAGTATAGGGACCAGACCATTTTGATCGCAGCTTTCCTGGAAACAGCTTAGGCCTAGAGTTGTAGAGTAGCACCTTTTGCCCCCCCTTAAATTCACGCATCTGAATATGCATATCATACCATTTCTTGGTGCGTTCTTTGTAAAGTCTTGAATTTTCGTAGGTCTCCATTCTGAGCTCATCCAGCTCGTTAAGTTGTAATAAACATTTTTCACTCGCAGCCTTTAAATCCAAATTCAATTTCTTCATTGCCCAATAAGCATGGTGTTCTATCTCAAGAGGTAAGTGGCATGCCTTCCCGAAAATCAGTCGATATGGTGACATCCTTATAGGGATCTTGAATGCAGTCCCATAGCCCACAAGGCGTCGTCCAGCTTCTTAGACCAATCTTTTCGTGAAGAGCTTACTGTGACTTCAAGTATTGGCTTTAATTGCTTATTGGACACTTCAACCTGTTCGCTAGTTTGAGGATGATATACAGTGGCTACACGATGTTTAACGCCATATTTATTCAACAACTATTCAAATTGACGATTGCAGAAATGTTTGCCCCCATCACTGATTATAGCTCTTGGTGTGCTAAAACGGGTGAAAATATTTTTCTTTAGAAAATCAATCATCACCTTCCCATCGTTGGTACGCAATGCAACGGCTTCTACCCACTTCGATACGTAATCTACAGCCACTAATATGTACTGATTAGAGAATGATGGGGGGAATGGCCCCATGAAGTTGATCCCCCAGACGTCGAATAGTTCCACCTCTAGGATACTGTTCAAAGGCATTTCGTTTCTCCTGGATATATTACCAGTGCGTTGACATCGGTCACACCTTTTCACGAATTCAAAAGCATCCTTAAACAACGTAGGCCAGTAAAAATCTGATTGAAGGATCTTCGCCGCTGTTTTTGAAGCACCAAAATGCCATGCGTATGTAGATGAATGACAATGTTCTAGTATCAAGGGCACTTTTTCCTCAGGTACGCAACGACGAACGATTTGATCAGCTCCCTGCCTGTATAGAATGGGATCCTCCCAAAAATAATACTTCAATTCAGCGAAAATTTCTTCTTCTGGTGACTTGAGTAATCTGGCGGAATGATAGACATAGCTAAGTAGTTAACTATGTCAGCATACCAGGGTGCCTCCCCACACCAAAAATCTGTTCATCTGGGAAGACTTCATTGATTTCCACGGTCTCTGTCTGACCCCAGGGTCTCGAGTCGAGATAAGTGGTCTGCTACCACGTTTTCACTGCCCTTCTTATCCCTGATTTCCAGATCAAACTCTTGAAGCAGCAGTATCCAACGAATGAGACGTGGCTTGACATTCTTCTTTTCCATTAAGTACTTGATGGCTGTGTGATCTGTGTAAACTATGACCTTTGACCCCACAAGATATATCGAAATTTGTCGAAGGCGTAGACTACGGCAAGGAGCTCTTTCTCTGTAGTGACATAGTTTAGTTGAGCATCGTTTAATGTCTTACTTGCATAGTAGATCACGTGAAATATCTTGTTTCTTCGTTGTCCCAATACGGCCCCAACAGTAAAATCACTTGCGTTGCACATTAATTCAAATGACAGGTTCCAATCTGGTGTGATGATCACGGGTGCTGAAATCAACTTATCTTTCAAGGTGTTAAAAGGCAGCAAACACTCATCTGTGAACTCAAATGTAAATTCCTTTATCAACAAACATCACAGTGGTCTAGTAATTTTTGAGAAATCCTTGATGAACCTTCTGTAGAACCTGGCATGTCCAAGGAAGCTACGAATACCTTTCACTGATGTTGGTGGCGGTAATTTCTCGATAACCTGAATCTTTACTTTGTCCACCTTAATACCCTTTGTTGAGATTCTGTGTCCTAACACGATGCCCTCATGTACCATAAAGTGACGTTTCTCCTAATTCAATACCAAATTGGTCTCTGTACACTGCTGTAACACAAGACTCAGATGCTCCAAACACTCATCAAACGAAGACCCAAACACTGAGAAGTCGTCCATGAATACCTTGATGAATTTCTCAATCATATCCGAAAAGATAGCCATCATGCAGCGCTGAAAAGTGGCAGGAGCGTTGCATAAACCAAAAGGCATCCTACGGTATGCAAAGGTACCGTAGGGGCATGTGAAAGTTGTTTTCTCCTGATCGTCAGGCGCTACTGAAATCTGATTATACCCGGAGTACCCATATAGAAAACAGTAATGTGAGTGCCCTGCTAGTCTCTCCAACGTCTAATCAATAAACGGTAGTGGAAAATGATCATTTCGAGTAGCAATATTTAGTTTGCAGTAATCAAGGCAAACTCTCCATCCAGTCACTGTTCTTGTAGGAATCAACTCATTTTTCTCGTTTTGCACCACTGTGATACTCCCCTTCTTTGGAATAACCTACACTGCACTGATCTATGCACTATCTGATATTGGGTAGATGATGCCTGCATCAAGCAACTTCAATACCTCAGCCCTAACCACTTCCTTCATGTGTGGATTCAATCTCCGCTGACCATCAATGCTTGACTTGAATTTTTCCTCCATGAGTATTTTGTACATGCATAGCGATGGGCTGATCCCCTTGATATCTGTAATTGACCATCCAACGGCTGTTTTATTCTCCCTCAGCACCCGAAGTAGTCTCTCTTCCTCCACTTCACTGACAGTATTTGAAATAATAATCGGGAGTGTAGAAGACTCCCCCAAGTAAGCATATCGAAGGTGTGGTGGCAATTGTTTGAGTTCCAACTTCGGAGGTTGCTGAATAGATGACACTGACTTTGTAGTCCTAGTTCCCAGTTCTTCGAAGTGACGCTTGCGCATGTATGGTGGATTAGTTTCCAAAAATCGTGCACATGTTTCAATCTCACTTGAATCAGTGTGAGTGGATTGAGAATTTGCAATGCATGCCTCGTATGCATCGGAAGGATGATGTAGCCGAAATGTATCTTGAATTATTCTGTTAATTACATTGATCTGAAAATAGCTGTCTGACTCAGCGGGAAATTTCATTGCCTTGAACATGTTGAAAGAGATTTGTTCTTGGCCAGCTAAGAAGGGTCGCCCCAATATGAGTGGAACATCCTTATCTTCCTCCATGTCTAAGATGAGAAAATCGGCTGAAAATATGAACTTTTCTACTTTTACTAACACGTTTTCAATGATCCCTCTTGGATGTGTAAGGGATCGATCTGCTAACTGTAGGGTGACTGTTGTGGTTTTAGCTTCTCCTAAGCTGAGTTTTCTGAAAGCAGAGAGAGGCATCAAATTAATAATTGCACCTAAATCGCACAAAGCTTTATCAAAATGACAATTTTCAATAGTGCAAGGCACAGTAAAACTCCCTGGATCCTTTAGTTTTGGAGGCAATTTTTTCTAGATTCTGGCACTGCATTCCTCAGTTAGCATCACTGTTTCATTTTCTTCTATCTTTCGCTTGTTAGAGAGGATATCTTTTAGAAATTTTGCATAACTCGACATCTGAACAAGTGCCTCAGCAAATGGGATGTTGATGTGTAATTTATTGAAGACTTCAAGAAATTTACTATATTGTTGATCCAATTTGTGCTTTTTCAACCTCTGCGAGAATGGAATAGGTGGCTTATGAGGGTTGATAGAATTGGTAGCTGTACCCCGTTATGTATTGGAACTCTTCTTGGCAACATCCCTTGTTATTTGTTCAGTCTGTTCCACAATCTCGTCATCTGAGGTTGGTGCTGATTCCTTGCTAGCTACTGATCTTTTTACATGTATCTCCGGTAGTTGTACTCTACTTCTGGTTGTTATAGCCTTTGCGTGCTCCTTAGGATTGATTTCAGTCTTGCTGGGTAGGTTTCTTGGTGCTCTACCTGTCATGGAGATTGCCATCTGTCCCATTTGCGTCTCCAAATTTTTGATTGCAGCACTTTGGTCTTGGAGAGTTGTGTTTGTCTTTCGCATAAACTGGTTGTTGGCCTCCATGTACTGATTAGTTGTTGCCATGAACTTCTCAAACATCTCTTCCAATGGCGGCTTTTTATCCTACTGTTGAAATTGACCTTGTGGTCTGTTTTGATTCTGGTTACTCCATGAGAAGTTTGTGTGTTTTCTCCAGCCCTAATTGAAGGTTTCTGAATGTGGATTGTTCTGTTGGCGTTGACCCCATTGCACAAAATCTGCATGTTCGACCCCCTGTGTGAGAATTGGACAGTTGACAGTATTGTGGTTTGCTCCACATTCTTCACAGCTTGGCTTCTTGACTTGTTTTGTATTGACGGTCTGTGTAATATTCTCAACCTTATGGAACAAGGAGTCTATCTTCGCGGATAATGTTGAGTAAGTATCTACTTCATAAAACCTCGACGTTCTCTTCTGAATCACTCGATCTGTAGACCACATGGCTGAAGTTGTAGCCATTTTCTCAAACAGTTCCCATGCTCCGTCAATTGTTCTTGTGGAGATAGACCCGTTGGATGATGAGTCCACCATGCTCTTGAAGGATGAAAGTAATCCAGTGTAGAAAAATCGGATTTGTGTCTTCTTATCAAAGCCATATTGAGGACACTTCCTTAACATATTTTTGAAGCGATTCCATGCCTCTTCAAATGATTCGGACTCGCCTTTGTTGAATATAGAGATGTCATGCCGCATTTTTGCTACCTTAGATAGCGAGAAGAACTTGGTGCAAAATTTGTGGGTTAATTCGTTCCAAGTGGTGATGCCTGCGATGGGAAGTGAATCCAGCCATTCAAGTGCTTTATCCCGCAAAGTATGTGGAAACAATCGCAGTCTTATAGCATCGTCTGAGATACCCTGGTGCCTAAAGTGTTGGCAGATGTCCAGAAATCGGGATATGTGTGTGTGTGTGGATTCTCACTAGCCATCCCGTGGTATTGATGCCCATTTTGAAATAGTTGAATTACATTTTTTTCAGCTGGAAGTTCGGTTGCCCAAATGGAGGATATACAATGCTAGATTGACTCTGGACCACCAACGGTGCCATGAAGTTCCCAAGTACCATATTCCCTTCATCTTCAACCCTTGTGCCTTCGTTGAGGTGAATTACCGGACGATTTTGCTCGTTAGCCATTTGTTGTTGCTGTTTTTGGTCTTTTTGAATTTGTTGTGCTGCTCTTGTTTCTCTTTGCCCGTGATGAAATGTACGTTCGATTTCTGGATCAATGGGGACCAAGTCTCGATTAGGTGCTCTTTGCAAACAAGCCCTGAGATAGCACAAATAGCACAAAATTAAATTAAAGTAAACAATAAACTAAGTCTACTAAGCTAACTACTACTAATCTAGATAAGTTCGAATTAGTGTCACAATAGATAAAATTAAACTAAATTTCAATCCCCGAAAATGACGCAAAAAACGTGTTCATAAAATTGTTTCTTTCAATTTAAAATCCACCGCAAGTGTACGGTTCGTTAACAAGTAATAAAATGGACTATGAGTCCAACTATCAATCCCACAATGATTGAATTAGTTCAAATCAACCTATTATGACCTTAATCGAAACACGAAAGTAAGATTTATGTATTGTGATTTAACTAAGGAAGATGTGAACTATAATGCAATTATGAATGAGAAACTTATATTAAATGCAAAATGACCTGGACGCAATTTACGAGAATTTATGGAATTAATGAATTTACTAACGCACTAGGATCACGAATTCTCAAGCAACGCCTTTCAACTTTTAATTATGCAAATTTGACACACATTCCCACAATTGATGAATCAATATTCCTATTTTAATTTAGCAATCTCTCTCTCGCAATGCCAACCTACCTCAATATGTGATTCGACTATATCTCTATGACGAATACTAACATACAGGAATGCATTATGATTTCATGAATATTCAAAAATTCACACAAGGCATAGAGATATATTTCTATCCCCTATTGGACCATATGATAAGTTATACTACGTTGAGCCTATTTTCCTTCTTTCGAATGCATAAAACGGCCACCAAAATCATATAATCACGTGTACAATAATAATATGGAATTAAAAACGTATAAATCATTCAATTCCGGAACATGCGTTTAAATATGTCAAATCTCCAAATCAAAAGTAGTATTGCAAGGATCATCGATCTCCTAACAATGAAAAATCTAGCCTAACATGCTAATAAGAAGAAAATACAAAAATAGTTGAAGAAACGTCATCACCTGAATCAAGTTTCAATCAAATTTTCAATTGGCGCGATGTTTTCCTCTTGTTCTCTCTTCGTTTTCTCTTTCAAAATCTCCCCTTTTCTTGTAAAAATAGTGTCCCCTTCGTTCTGGTCGAATTTTCGTTTATATAGGTTCTTAAAAATCTTGTTTTCTTAAGAGTTTCGGCGGAATAAGAAAATTGCGGATTTGGCCAAGAATTGTTCGATGCGGTCGCATAGAGCAAAAATTTACTGAAAAATAATTCTCGGTTTGCCTCTATGCAGCCGCATAAAGGGTAGCACTATGCGGTCGCATAGTGCCACCAACTATGGAAAAGTCCATTTTGGTCCTTCTACTTGAATCCTTTACTTATTGGCATCTTTTCTTCATTCTTCTCATTCCATCATCTCAAGATATCATCAATTGGCATTTGGTTTAATCAATTTCTTGATTTGTTCATCGGGTCAACTTTTGGATAATTGTACCTTAGTCCTTGAACTTTCACTTGCGTCATTTTAGTCCCTTTTCGCGTCTTTTCTCCTGAATTTCACAAATGTAACGAGATTAAGTCACAATTCAATCATTTTGCTCGTTATTAAGTCATGTTTGTGACTTAAATAAGTGTACAAAAACACACTTATCAAGCATCTCTAGTGGGAAAAATGATAATAAGAATTCCAAAGTGAGGATAAGATTCATAATATCACGTCTCAATGTACTAGTTTACGAATCCAAAAATTCGAGCATAATACATTCTAAACCAACACAGAATAATTCAATTACTTGATGGCCTAAAGATGCCATAAACCACTAAAAAAGAGAGAAATTTGTAAGGTAAGACATCTACGAAAGGTTCAGTATGTATGTAGTATAGCCCACAACAAGATAGTAAAAAGACAATTTTTTTTCTAACTTTTTCTTTGTTTTTTTTTTAATTATTGTTGAGTATTTGACGCCGGGTAGGATAGTGATTATCCTATTGGCTTGTTGTAGCAGATGATTCACAAAAAAAGAACGACAGAAAATGCCCAAAAAATCAGAGAAAATACTCTAAATTCAACTTAATATTATTAATAACTCAGAATGATGAAAACTAACCCACAAGCCGGGTTAAATAGCTGCGAAATACGAAATTATGGGAGAATTACCAAAAATGGAAAAATCCCAAAATTATACCAAAATAAAATATTAAGTAAAAGAAGTAAGTTGCCAAAAATTTGGCTCAATTCGAGTTTTCTAACATATGGAAAAAAGGAAACGAAATATTACCATAAATAGTAAAAAATAACTTAAAATTGAATTTTGGAAAGGAAAACAGTGGATTTTGGGCTCGAAATTGACGTCTACCGAGCATAGCTGGGTGGTCACGACGTGCGCGCCGAAGCGAGCTTTCCGAATTGGGGTCATAATAGCGATTCCGATAACCGTAGTAAAAATTATGGCCAAATTACCAAAGACGCGTCAAATTCCCCCAATTAAGGAAATAATTGTGATTCACTTTCCATCTTTGCGCCGATCCGCCATCTCATGGTATCTCAGCGCCATCATCGTGCTATCTGACAAATCAGTATCACTCGACTCGGATCCTCCTGCATCAGTATTGTACAATCGACCTTAGACAGAACAGGCAGTAGCCGTCTAGTGAGTTGCAGATGCTACTGCCGTCTCCATCAGCGGAGCTCTCATTGCCCTCAAATTCCTATACTCCATAGGGCCAAAATTGTATAGGAATCTACTTACTATTGCGATGCTCGGCCCTGCCACCATATTCTCCCATGCCTCGTTCGCTTCTTTGCCTTGTTTTCTGAACACATCGGTGGCATCAATCCGGTGCACTTCCCATCCCTTCACGTCTTTAAGTCGATAGATTTTCTCCACTTGGCGACATGCCAATTTGCTCGTGTTGAATTTTACCATATTTATTGCTTCTTCTAGTATTCTAGCACGAGTTTCGCCATTCGAGGATGATTCATCCCGGAAGTAACGATCGAATTCAGGGACACCAATTGCTCTCCTAAGTCCTCCCGAGTAGTCTGCATTTAATCTGAACATGTTTCTTACCTCATTTACCATCCCCCTTTCCACCATTTGATCAACTCTATTGGACAAAAACGAGTCAAGCACTTGCATTGATACGTCCACCCAGAGGAAGCAACATTCGTACTTTGAACGAAATTTATTGTCCTTATCATCGATCAGTGCCTCAATGAATGAATTCGAGCCTCCAACGATGATTGGAAGCCTTCGATTGTTGACTACAGACTTTATAGCCAGGGAAGCCATGGTACAAAAATTTTTAGCAGTGAAGTCCACGTTAGGATCTACTACTCCTAGGAGGTGGTGGGGTACCCCACAACACTCTTCTCGAGTGATCTTGTTCGTTGTTATGTCCAATCCTTCGTATACCTGCATTTTATCTGAATTCACTATCTCAGATGGAAAGCGGGTGGCTATATCGATGGAAAGTCGAGACTTTCCCGTCCCCGTGGCTCCCATGACCACCACCACTTTCTCCTTCGGTGGCTGGTGACAGTGGACTTTCCCTATTTGAGGAATGTGCGACAAAAATGGTGTATGTTTGCACATAGATAGTGACATTCTCATTCTTTAACTGATTAAGAATGAAAGAAAAACCAAGCTTTTGGCATCCGAAACAAAGAAAAACCAAGCTTTTGGCATCCGAAACGCGGCAACTTGAAAATACGTTCAGTTTATTTGTAAATCTTCTGAAACAAACAAAAAATTTTGTAGAGGCTTCAGTTGATGCCAACTTTGATCAAAATCTAATAACTTAACAACAAAAGATCAAAAGAGGGAAAGTTAGAAGATGCGATGCCAAAAGAGAAAATTGTTGAGTATTTATAGTCAGTGTTGTGAAAGCCTAGACAAAAGAGGGCAATTATTCAATTGGGTTCTGTTTGGGTTTAATCATAGTCAATACCAAGTTGCTGTATCCTGTAAATTTTGCACAAAAAGTTGATGCACTAACCTAATTTCGACTTTTCATGATACAGAAAAGACGACGAAAAAATATTATGAAAACTATTGAGACGAACAAGTTCAAGTTTGAGAGTGAGAGAGTTTTGATGCTTGATGCACAATAGATTCAAGAGGAATACAATTTGATCAAAATCTTGTCTTTTACTAGTTTTTCCTTCTTTCTTCTTTTGGTTGGGACAGGTCATATCTAAATAATTGCACAAGATAATATGAATAATATTTTTTTTTGCTGAAATTTGTTAGAGTAGTTAGCTGGCTTATTTAAATAATGCTATTTTGACAGAAAATCCGGTCAGATGCAGTAACAAAAGATGCCGTGGCAAGAATCATTGGATGGTACAATTGGCTGTATTTAAAACAATCCGATGATGAAATGTCACGTGATATTATGTTAACCTTTAAGTCAAACTTTCTGTTTATATAGCATGATTGTTTATTATTTGAGTATGTGTCCCACTTTATTATATTGTCAAATGGACGATTAATTATGTCACTTTAATTATAATTGTGCAAGATTTGAAACAAATATGGTTCAACATGGCATCAGAACATACAAAAGTCATAAATTTAAATTCTTGCGCCTCCTATTTATTAAACTTATATGAGTCAAATCCTTGATGAAAATAGATTCTACCACATGTAATAAAAATATATTTTGCGATTGTTTGACAAAGCTGTCGATGAATTTTTGGAATAAATTTTAATTAAATTTGATGTAATATGTAGTTGAAAAGTTCATAAAAAGAATTAAATAAAGTTTCTCACTTATATATTGAGAATTCTTTTTGTACAGTGACCATATAGTGATTTTATCATACGTAGGTAATTTTAGGGTATGGAATGGAATAATTTATTGCTATCTTTTCCCCAACCTTAAAATGTAGACAAAATGGAATGTGAATGATTTTGAAAATGGGATGGGAATAATTAAATTTTTTCTTGGTCTACAAATAAAACTGACATCTGATTCCCTGGTGCAAATTGGTGACAAGATTGAATAATATTATTATTTCCTTTGTGGTTGTCACCAACTAAACGGAGTTTTCTTTTTAATCTTTTCCAACCAATTCATAACATAATTTGTAAGAAAAAAGATTTTAATTAATGCGTGTGAATTCAATTTTTTTGTTGCTCATTCACTAAAATTTTGTATGTGTTCTCACTTTTGATTAATAAAATAAAATAAATATGTATGTCTTTGATTTTTTATTTTATTTTTGCAATACTTCAATGCTTGTTAATTGAAACATATTAGCAATTTCCAAAGGGGGATGTACAAAACTAACTAGATAAGATCAAAATTCATTGAAACTCGGTGTAATCAACACGCATTACTCTATCCTTTCGTGATGCATGCGTTGTTGGCGGTCATCATAAAAAGCCATACTCTACCCAAGTTGGCAATTTGTCTCATGTCTTTTCGGCATTTTATCATTGTACTATGAATGAAAGAGGTTTGAGTAGGATGGAGAGAGGGTATTTAGGGATCTAAATATGATGATTTTAATCAACTTATTTCCAAAAAGGCAGCCAAGTGGAATTCTATCAATCCCATAATAACGGGTTTGTATAAGACGAAGGACATGATAGAAAAACTTATCATTTAGCTCTTGTGAAGTGTAGATTCTTAATTGGAAGTCAAGAATTCACTCAATAGTTTTGTACGGCTTTAATTCGAGAGTTCAAACAAATATAATGAGATCCACAATTTTTAATTCGAGAGTTCAATTCTTAATTGGAAGTCAAGAATTCACTCAATAGTTCAAATTTATTTTTGGTCACATATTTAATGAGATCCACAATTTTTATCATCTTTTCAAACACATTCATCAATTTTTATCTAAGGATATATATGATATTTTAGGACAATCTTGCGGCGTGCTTTCTCCACAAGCATAATATCATTGCAAATTATTTGAAGTTCATGCATCCTTACATCATCCAATATCATTTTTGATAATTTTCCTGTTGTTTACCATGCCTAAGGAAAATGGATCTTGTCACACTAATAGATTTTCAAAATAATGTTAATTTAACTTTTTCAACTTATAATTTCAACGCATTCATTTGGTTTTTATTTTGTCCTTGCTTGATGTCATTTATGACGAAGAAATAATGTTAATTGTTTGTATATATTATTGGTAATATTTCACAATCATAATTTTCAATTCTATTAATCAAAAGTAATGTGTTACTTGAGAAGAATCTTTATATAAAAGTAAGCCTTGTTCCATTTTATTTCAAAATCATAAACTAAATATCATGTTGAAAGAAGAGTCATAACTTATTGGTATGTCATTCTAATGGTTTTTCGACCAAAGGCCACCACCTTATAAGAGAACACACGCCTTTGTTTCTAATATGATAATACATGTTGTTTTGTTTCAATCTTGTTTGAAAGTTGAGCTTCGATGGTGTGCAAAATTGAGTTTAAGCTCAAAATCAAGCTTAAACTCGATTTATCAGTAACCTCGTTGATATCGTGTTTAATTAAAATTAAATCGGATTTTTCATCTCTGCTCGATTCTTTGATCAGACCACCTGTTTAGGTCCGATTCTTACATTCATTATGGCATTAAGTCATAATCGAAACAAAAACTATATGCTTAACCATTAAAGAATTGGATTTGTTCTTGTCAACATATTTTTTTTTTCTTGTCAATATTTAATATTTTAATTCTAAATTCTTTAATGTTAATAAAATATTGAAGCGAAGTCCAATTGATTAACCTCCATAAGTACGTGCGCATGATAGGTGATGTCCTGTCAATTCGCAATCCATGCACTACAACCACATCAATTTTATTAACAAATTATTCATTTTATAATCTACAAGTTAGAAATCAACCTTTTTCCTGCATTATATCCACCACAAGAGGAATAATTGGTCTCAGTTTAATTTTTGATTTGGATGAGAACTTTGGATTATCTAAAAACTATCAATCACTTCTCTAGAAATGAAATTTTTTTTCATCTTATCTAAAAATTTAAATTATAAAACAATAATTATCCCCTCACCATGTATGTGTTACAAAGTTGAAGTGAAGGTTACAACTCATATAAATAAACTTGAAATTTGTATATTATATTCAAGATATTGAATTACTCTTCTTAATAATGTTGATATTTTAAAATAAAACTTTAAATACTAGTATAATAGGATTAGAGAATGTAAAATCCAAACGAGCAAATCAATGCGTTCAAAAGCTCAAACCAACAATCGAATTTGAAGATCAATATTTCTAATGGACTGACAACTTTGCTTGACAACGTTGGCCTTTTCAGATAGAATCGCAAATCATAATAGTTGGATCGTCGATCCTTATTTGACTCGGCGTATTAGCTAGTTAATACTTTATGTATTGATAAATATTGGAGCTTAGGTAGATCATTCACATTTTCTGAACGTGTCAAAATGGCAAGACTTGCTAGAAAATAATGGGGCTATCAAATCTGTAATAGCGTACATTGTATACCTCGAGGAGTCCCTTCAAGTATAGATAAAAAATCATTTTACCATTAAACAGTAAAGTTTAGATTCATAAATATTGTACACTTCGATATCAACTAAAATAAAAAATAAATATGAAAAATACTTTTAATCAACTTAAAATTAATAATAGTAATATTGACATTTTGAGTTGAACCACCTATGAGCTAAGTTATGGATCTACAATCGACAAGCACATCCTTTTTCATGTCAATTTATTAATTAGTGATATGCCACGAAGAGATGCACCATTAGCGACAACCCCACTATCTCCATATACTAATTTTGATCAATTAGCTGAATTCATTCTACATTTCTCAACAATTTTTCTTTAGTAGTCGTGACTTATATACATTTGACTTTTTTTTGGAATCTTTGTTTATCCCACATTATATCCATTGGTAGTACACTGCAAAAAGCAAAATCATCTCTTCCATCAGATTTCTCCAATTCAAACTTAAACTCCAATGCACCAAAGACCTCGAACGTACATAATTTTAGAATCATTGAGGGTCCTCTTAGAAAACTTCAAGAATAGCATAGACATAGAGCTAATAATGATAGTACAATAGCTCCCAATCTATGCACTCCAATCACATCAATTTTATTAACAGACTATTCAATTTATAATCATTTACACTTTAGAACAACCTTGTTTCTGTACTATATCCGCCAAAAGAGATTTGTCAATGTCTCAGTTTAATCTTGATTTCAATGAGAACTTGGATTATATAGATACTATCAATCACTTCTCCAAAAATGAAAAAGAAAAGAAGTTTGCCTCTTCCAAAATTTAAATTATAAAAAAGTTTTTATTTATGTAGCCACTTTTAAGTGTTAAAAAGCTGATGTTAATTGTAAAACTCATATAGAGTAAAAAGAAAATAAATACAATATACATACGGATTTGAGTTCCTCAACTTAAAAAATGTTGACATTTTACAGTAGAACCTCATGTCCTAATATGATATGATTAGACTGTATTAAATTTGAATTTAAAAGCTTAAATCAATAATCAAATTTCAAGATCAATATTTTCAAAGTCATCAACTAGGTGAGACATAAGGAGTAACACATCAAATAAAGATAAATATATATACAACGTATAAGGACTTTGACTATAAGGTAACATATTTACATTTTCTAAACGCATCAAAAAGGCGAGATTTGCTAGAAAACATGGGCTCTATCAGACCTATAATAGCGTGCTCCGAATATCTCGAGGAGTCCTTTCATGTATAGGTAAAATTCATTTTTATATTAAAATAGAAAATTTAACTTCACAAATTTTTAACACTTCAATATCAAGTCGAGTCACATCAATTGAAATTTAAACCGTTAAAAATATTTTTATATATTCTGTATTTTATATTCAATAATTATAATGTCTAATAATTGAATCCACTCAAGTGAAAGCAATTGCAGTATTGGTTTTTGATGCCCTACCAATCTATGAATCTATGCACCGCAATCACATGAATTGTATGTATCCCAATTTTATTACAAAAATTCCACTTTATAATCATTTAGATTTATGGGTCTATTCTGCATTGATATCCGGGAAAATTACGCAAAATCCTATCTTTAAACTTCA